TATCATCAACAAAATTAAAAAGAATAATTCTGAAGAATTGCTAAGTTTTATAAAAACTTGATATTTAGTTTTAAATTTTGTAAAGCAAAATACTAATGAAGAGAATCCTGTTATGATATAAACTTTTAGTAGAATATTAATTACTTATTATTGATCACTTTATATTACAATATGATTGGATAATTAATTATTTATATCTTATTGGATATTAGCTTTAGAAAATATTATTTGTAAATATTTTTAAAAGATTTTGCAAATATGATAATTAAGACAAAATTATTATAGCAAAGTTAACAAAATTATCATAGTAAAATTAATAATACTATTATAATAAAATTAATATTATAATATTTGCTAAAATAATATTTAGATCATAACAAAAATATTATTCATATAATTTCTAAAATATATAAAAGTGATATATTTTAACTAGTAAAAAAGAATAGTTCTGAATAATTAGTTAATTAATTTAGTTTGAGTTCTATAGATTTAATTTTTAATTCATATTTTAAGTAGATTTTAGTTAAAGAGAATTTTAAGAAATATTTCTTGTAAAATAGATCTTAATTAAAAAATCTATTATTTTATTTTATTAATAAACTAATTATATATCTATCTTTGAATTATATTTTGAAATTGGATTATATTCTAGCTAATCAATCTAAAGAATATTATTATTATCTATTTTTAGAAATAATCTTTGATAATTTTTAATAGAAAAGTATATTCTTATTAATATACTTTTAATAAGCTCTCTATATTATATTCTTAGCAAAAATACATATTTTTGATAGTTTAAGAATTATATTCATTTCTCAAATTAATACTCGTATCAAAAAGATAATATATAAAATTATTAATATTGATTTTTGAATAGTTTGAATAAAAATTTATTAATAATTTAATTATATAGATATTTAGATAATATATTTATATTAATTTAAAAAATAATCTTGAAAATTATATATATTTTTATTAATTAAAATTTTATATAAAAATTTAATATTATATAATTTATATAATAAAACTATTTTATATTTAATTACTTATTATATCTTATATTTTAATATAAAAATAAAAAATAATGGGTATTACATAATTATGTTATACCCACTTAGTTTAGGTTATTTCCCTATATTTATGACGTGTAAATCACAGAACTCAAGTCACTCGAGTGATTGGTGGTTCGCAAATCTCAAGTCACTCGAATGACGATCGATTTCCATTTGCCTCGTCAGTGGACACCCGCTGTTTGCACACATTTTGCGCATCAGGAAGCGATTTCTCACTATGATCTTCCTAAGATCGATCGAGAAAGCGAGTCAAAGGCTACGTAACGGTAGCTTGGTCGACACCTTAGTGTTGATCCTCGTCGAGTTATCATTAATCGAAATCGTGGCACGAAAAAATAGCATATGCCCGACGACGCATTCTGTCGCGTGTCGTCATTTGCAGGCCCGATGTGAGGGCTATGCCCGAACTGGTTCTCGATCAATTAATCGTGTAATGGTTACCTGGCATATGCTATATACATGTTATCAGGTTATGCTATACCCTAGGAAATCTGTTCTGGTTGCGATATATATCTTACAATGTTATCTAGAAATGCTATCAAATCGACTTCGCCTATGTTTACTTACCTTGACCCATTAAAGTATATCTCATGATTGATATTCCAGAATGCGGTTAAAATGGATTTGCTCGCGTCCAAAAAAAAAAATCCGTCCAGATTTCGTCTAGGTAAAAATTATGCCAATTTGGACGGATAATGTTATGGAGAAAAAGGTTTCTTTTTGTTTTAACTTGTTCTTCTATTTTCGTCTAAGTTGTCTAGGTAAAAAATAGAATTCTAGGAAAACTATCAAACTCTTCCTATGTTATATATTTTTACCTACCGATATATACATACCTTTGATACATATACGACATATGCTATATATGCATACAATACACATATGTTCTATACACATAGATAAAAAATATATAAGAGTAAGAAGATCGAGAATTTACCTAGACAACCTGGACAATTTGGACGGCTAGTCTAAAACCCTTTCTATCAGTCCAAAAACGTTATTCAGCTATCTTTTTCCGTCCAAAATAACTTTTTTTAACTTAGACAAATCTGGACACCCCCCCCCCCCCCCTCCAAAATCTAGGACAAACTATGTATTTTTTCTACCACCCCAGCACCGTTTTGTGCCATTTTCTCCAGCTTTTTCTGGTGCATATACTCTCTTCTACAATGTTTCTGTGCATGAGTATCACAATAACCATAATCAGAAGATGTTAACTTACCACATTCTTTGCAAGGAATGCGCATAGGAGAATTTCTGTGAACTTTGCACCCGTTTGGGTGATAGCATTCTCGGTTACAAACTTCTCCGGTTCTAAGGATATAGGGATAACGATAAAATGCCATTCTTTTTGATGTTTATCTCGATTGAGTATATAATATGTACTGATTAATATTCTTTAGAATTAATTTTCATTTTGAGCTTTTTAGTTCCGAATAATAATCTTTCAGAAAAAACATGAGTACCCAAAGTGAACATAGCATACCTATTGTACCTGCATCATCCGATGTGCCAACTATGGATAACCAAAATTTCCAAGAAAACATCGATCACGTGCCAGCAGAGTCAGAAGCACCACCTTCTCGACCCGAGAGCCCAGAAAACGAGGAAAATTTCGAGCCAGAATCTGAGGAGGAGGAAGGAAACGGGGGCTTCTACCACCGGGGGGCCAAAGCCGAGAGCGTGGCCGAATATAGGTATAAAATTCGAGATGACAATGTAAGACCAAGACAATTCCTCGGCACAGATTCTGAGGACGGAATAGAAAAAATATTCGCAGAACGTCGGGGTCATTCATTGCACGAATTTATTGATGGAGATGATCCACTTCGCCCAGTTATCGATTTTGATTTATCTAGAGAAAATTTTTATAAAATCGAACCCAAGCTTACACCTAAAGAAATACAGGATTTACTTTGTCGTGCCTTTAAAGAAGTGTGTTTAGAAATATACCCAGAATGGAATCCTCACACTTTAACTATTGCTAGTAGTAATGATAAGAAAAAAATGTCTCTCCATATCTCAACTTTCGGTATGAGACTTAAAAATATAATGGCTTGTGCGTTATTTACTGAACTCGTTCGTAAGAAGCTCCCAGTAGATTTACAAAAGAAGGAAATTGTTGATAACATCGTCAACAAAAACTCATTTTCCTTACGAATGCTTGGAACTCCAAAGATTATTAAAGAAACTAGAGAGCATGTACGAGTAAAGAAAGCATTATTTCCCAAGGATGGATCAATTTTCGACTTTATGCTCCGCCCACCTAATGACGAGGCACCAGTTATAGACAGCCCTCTCTTAATTGTTCCAAAAGTAGATACAACTAAAATTTCTAACACGGACATTGACCTTGCCAGCTCCGCTGAAGCAGAGACAACTAAAATTTTTACCACATGTACTGAAACTACTGAAGCTATTGGAATTGAACTTGAATTGGTTGTTAAAATTATTAGAAGAATTCGAAATCCGAGGATATGAATTATTATCCCCAACAGATAAATTTCCCGATACTTTTCCTCTCAAACGGATAACCCCAGCATACCGCCCATTATGCGATCGAGAGTATGACTATAAAGAACCACATAATAGTGATAATGCATATGTTATTCGAAATAAAAAATCGTATAGCTTCTATTGTCATCACGCGAATAATAATAGGGAACCTGGAGCCAGAAAGCCTTCAATTAAGTTGAGCATTAAAGAATCCACTACGGAACAAGAAAATAGCCTCCCAGTTCCAGAAAAATTGGAAAATCCCAAAATTTCTGACCCAAATGATCATTTTATATGGGGAGACCTGGTTCGTATGTGCACATCAAAGAAAACATTTACCCGTAAAGAAGTATATGAAGCGATTCAGACTGTCCTCGCTTGTGTGGTGTTTTCACAGTCAAGAATATGGATCTCTAAACATAAAAAACCGGATGGTTCATTGATTTTTAAAATGGGTCCCAAGTTAGGCTTCGGCGGATTAAATATTAATCTAGTGGAATTTGGGGGGGGGGGGGAATCAATAGGATTAAAATCTTTAATAGATCGCATATATGATAATGGGAGTATTATATACGATGATATTGATTTTATGCCATACCCCCCAAATGTAACCCCATCGAAAACAGAATTCTTTAATCTTTTCTTAGGGTTCAAGGCTAAGCCAGCATTACAAATTAATCACAATTTAATAAACCCAATTACCTGGCATATAGAAAATATCTGGTGCAATGGGGATAAAGCTCTCTCTGAATATGTCCTCAATTGGGTTGCATACCTAGTTCAGTATCCAAATAAAATTCCAGGAATTATTCTCGTTTTGCGTTCCCCACCAGGCTGTGGAAAAAATATCATTACCGATTTTATTCGGAAGAGTTTATTTGGACCGGAACTTGTATATTCAACTTCTGACCTTGGAAAAATTTTAGGAAAATTCAATGGCTGTGTACAAGGACGTAAACTTATTATTATGAATGAAACAGGAATGCTTACTGGGGAATGGCATAAAGCAAATGATCACTTAAAAGAACTAATCACAGAAGATTATGTCTCATCGAACACAAAGGACTAGAATCTTTTGATTGCGGACATTTCCCTGGATTTATAGTCCTAAGTAATCACGATAGCCCCATCCGAGTAGAAGAAGGTAATAGACGTGTAGTTGCTTTAGATGCATCATCTCGTTGTAAGGGTAATTTTAAATATTTTGATCAATTGGGAGAAATTCTCGACCATCCGGATACACGGCAATCGACCGTGATATTTTTTTGTACCAATAAAGCTGACCAATAAGGTCATTTTTCCTATTTTCATTTGGGATCATCATTCCGAGATATGTAGGAATAATTTATTAACTTGTATTTATGAAAAGAGTAAACCGTTATACGAAGTCGTAATCTCAGAGTCTTACGTGATCACAGCTGTTTAACTTGTTCACACTTTAGCTTTTAAAGCAATTCGCTGGATCCGGTACAAGTCAATAATAAAATTGGTACCAATTATGGTTGCCGGGATTACTGGAACATATGCAGGTGGGATAGGAGACGGTGGATCCCAAAATACTTCACCTATAGGAATCGTGATCTGAAAAGCTGGCAAGTTTGGCGCGTTGCAACCAGCAGGATCATTGACAGGATCCCTTGAATATTTTTTAATATTCCCAAAATCCCACCGTTGTACTGCCATGTTTTGGCGGTAAAGTTTTGCCTAAAATTTAAAAAACAGACTAATCAGATGCAATGCTTAATTTGATATCATTGAATAAGTAAAATATACCGTCATTGTTCTATAGAAATACCCGGTTACGGGTTCTCGAATTGTTGGTCTTTCATCTAAAATCTTGATACCGATGACAGCACGAACGTATTTTTCTTGCATCCAAGTCAAGCATCTTTGTCCCAAAAGACCAACACTTTGGCCCACAGCTACCTCACACACTATCCGTGCATGAGGATTTCCCTACATAAACCATAATAACGAAAATCACATATAGAACAAAATACAATAATACACATCAAACACAACATACATCTACATCACCGGGAGGAGGAGGTATTACGATGGAAGCGGAAGGTCTTGGAACAAATGCTTCATCTGGATATACAGCAACATCAGGAGCTATTTTAAGCCCTGTTCCACCAGGCTCATCGTGAACTATATGAAACAATGATAATATTGAAAATTCAATAACAAGAAGCAAACTAGAATAGATTCTCTTACGAGGTTGTCCACAGACTCTTATGGGAGGATCGAAAATAACTCCACCGTTAGGAATTTCGAAAAATTTTTGAAGCAGGTGAACAACATCCTCATGTCTGGTTGAGGCCATACCAATTATAAACACGTCGCTAGTCTTCTTGTCGAACCAGAATTTGTATCCAGCTGACCCATGGTTCTCAAGGAAAGTGTTGTAATTTTTTATTGTGATTTTCGAGCCAATTTTCAAAGGCAAACTGCATTCCATACAAAATCAATATTAGGTGGTGCTCAAGTAATAAAGTAATACACCCATACACCCACCTGCTCTCTTCTACCGGCTTTGTTGGTAATTTTGGATACTTGTGTACAAGTTCGTCAAATTTATCTAAATTCCTTGCCCACCAAATGTCGCTTGAAAAACGTGCGTGAGACATATTCAAGAGTAAGTAAAAGAAAACTGTGGAATATAATGATCAATTCGCTCTTATTCAGGTTGACCAATTAAATCGCAAGATCTGTGGAACATGAAAATAATCACGGTACTCACGTGTCAAGCCACGCAGTTTGCGTAGCGTCCTTAACAATTTGCGTGGTTCAAACTTTCCGATAAACTTTTTGCATAATACCTCACGCTATTATTGTATTGATAAAATGATTCTTTGGGATGTATCTGTTTTATGGCAAATATGTTTCGCGTGGTAGGAATGTATGCAATTGAATAATTCAATGATTATCATATAACATTGCATTCACGTACTCCCACCGATACCTTCCAGCATGAGCTCGGAGTCCTCGACATACTTCACCAATATTTGACCGGTTAATTCCAGTTGTACGTTGCGCTTCAGCTATGGATGGAAATTCTCGAGTAGAGCCATCGTCAAAAATCTGCCTGATAGGACGTTGGTATTTGTTACTATCCTTGAAGTTACGAAGCCCAAGACGTACAGCATGTTGAGTGTTTTCTTTCTGTGTACACCATTCGAGATTGGATGCGTTATTGTTGGTAGGATTCCCGTCAATATGATTTACATATTCTTTTCTTTCTTCTTTGGGACAAAATGCTAATGCCACCAAGCGATGAACAAGATATCCTTCTCGAGCGATTTTTCGATAACCTATATGCAATGAACCTTGGGTGATTTCGCCATTTGTTAACTGAATTCTTCCGAGAGATGAAACTCTGAATTTTCGTGAATCAAGCTTTATTTCTCTCCATTTTTCATTTGGATCGGGTTCTATGTGATCTTCATAATACATCCACCAGAAGTTTTTTGCTTCCCACTACAACATTCTGAAATGCAAGATTCTGAAATTTTGAGCGCACTACTGGCAAGGCGGATAGAATCCCAAATCTGAACAACATTTCCGTCTAACGTTTTCTGCACAATTTTTTTGGATCCAATACGGCCGTGGTTTGGGAATATCCTACGCTCAGCATTCTCCTTAGGAGTTACCCATTCCAAATTATCAACCCGATTATCATGCTTGATACCATTGATATGATTGACATGAGGCTTATTCTCCGGGTTTCTAAAAGTTTTCCATACAAAGGCTATTTTTATTGGATAATATACGCGAACAGCTATTTTATTGACATAATTTTTTATTCTGGGCTTTTAACACAATCATGGTTCTCAAATTCATTTTCTGAATTGAATAAAAATCTCACCTCTTCTAATATCTTTAATAACTCATCACGTCTTTTATATTTAATTCCACCATACCTTTTCTAAACATTCTTACTCATTTATTCAAGTAAAGTTTCTATCTTCGAAATAATTTCAGCTTTGGACTGGTTTGCTTCTTTTTCTTGTACGGTTGCTTCTTGTTTGGTAATCGGTATTGGCCTAAATAAAGAAGCTAGGTTATTATTGTGGAAAACGTCAATAATATATTTCTGTCAAGCTTTTTTTGCTAAATCAGTAAAATTTATCAATTGTGCGCTTAATGCATATTCATCTCCTAAGCTGGTACAGTCAGTTCTTCTATCTGATGAATTGACAAAATTCTCCTTTCTCAAGAAAACCTGAAATCTTTAATATTTTATAGTTATATCTGGCCGAATCCTTGGGCCAGATGTTTGAAGATCATTATATCCAATTATTTGGAAAAAATATTCCGTAACTAAGTTTTGATGATTATGATAAATAAATCTGAATGTTAATATGTGATATTAGCAATTGAATAGAATAATTTAATTACCTGTAAGAACTTTTTACAGTTATGTACCACAATTTTCCAGTGATGTATTTGTGGAATGGGTGATATCAACGTTTTTAGCATTTTATTTATTTCTTCCAAAACAGCATCTAATCCTTGATGTTGATTGCAAACTCCTGACCAGGAGACTATACTGTTGCTTTCTATAATATTTTGTATGGTCAGATTGAGTCGCATCAATTATGCTTCATCTATGACTTCTATAAAACAGTATATCAGATGATGTTGCCCTGTCTATACTGATGAAAAAGATATCCTAACAGCTATTCTGTAGTTAATTATGACTTGCAGATATTTGAATACCTATAGAAAATAATTGACATAATGATTAATAATATATAAATATATTCTCTAAGAAAAACTTAATACTATCTATTCAAATTTTACTTGATAATGTAAATTAGTTTGATTCTTTATTCAAGTTAAATATTTTTTTACTAATGGATTAGAATAACTCTTTGTATATGACTATACCAGTCCCATAGCAATTGCTTGATGATAGATATTACAGATTGAATTTCAAGCCTTGTGATGATTATTACATTTCTTAAAATAAGTGAGTTGATTTTCTATTTTCTATTTCTGATATATTACAAATTGTTTAAAATCAATATTTCTTTTAGAAAATAAAAATTTATTACTATATGAAATTATAATAATGAATTCAATATATGAATTTATCAATTTAATTTAACAAATGCTCAAAATATATTCATTTCTTCATATAATTATCCAGAAATGAGAATTAACTATGGATATCTCTCTTTTATTTTACTTGCATAATAATATGAAACTCTGTCACATATTATAATTACCTATTTTCATATTCTATTTTCAACTCCTGATATTTTCTTTATATGATGAAGAACTTTTTCAATATTTGTAGTTGAATTAGAATTGAGATCAAGAGAATTAGATATAAAAATTTCTGGATTATTAATCTCTTGATCAGTAAATAATCTCTGAGTAATGCTGATTCTAGATAAAGTAAAAAGTTTAGTTTTCTTATTAATATTATAAGATTTATAGATAGTTAATGGATCTAATTTATTTTTTTCTGACTCTAAAATATGTATTTTTGGCAATTCTGCCAATATAAGTAGATATATTTTACAATTTGGACAAACTCACTTTTAATTTTCAATATTTTGTTCTTTATAAATAGGATATTATTTATTATAATAATCATTTAATCCTATATTAGTGATAAAGGAGTCAATTTTATTAGTTATAAATAATTTTTTCTTATTTAATAAATTAAGAATTTCAGAAAGATAACTATGTAATTCTTTGTTTATAGTATCTTGCATCTCTGATATAATATTAAAAAGAGTTTCATATTGTAATCTATTAAGAAAATTAAAAAATCAAGAAGTATTAGAATATTAAATATTATTTTATATACTTATATTAAAAGCAACTAAGCTAATAACAGTATGAAAAATTATTATATTATATTTGTGATTAAGATAATTTTTCTGATTTTTCTATTCATTATTAAAGACTAGAAATAAAAGATCTTTCAGTAGTAACTTCTCTATATCTGATAATTTAGTTAATTAATTCTGAAAATAGATATAACTTTTCTGAATTTGTTATATGATTATTAATATTAATCATTATTTTGGATCATATTATTAAATACTTAATAGCTGATACTGTCAGATTAATTTCTGATATATATTTTTCATGTCAGGATCTATATATCATGACTTTTTTATAAAGTTTCTTATTATTTAAAGAATCTGTAATAAGACTATTGTGAGTTAGTATTTTAATAAATTTTATAATAACTTGATTTCATCTACTTAGTTATATCTGTGATATATACTGTAATAAGTTCTTTAAAGAAAACTGACTATTATTACTGATTAAAATATTAATTTCTTTATATAAAGACTTCTATTCATACTGTATAATATTAATAATAATCTATATATATTTATCCTGAGTGTAATATTATGAATTTTATTATTCAAGAAGATTCTTGTTTATATTTTATTATTTTTTATATAAACTATAAATAGTAATCATTTTATTATATATCTTCTATAATCACTCTTTTAATTTTTTTATTTTATTTTTTTTGATTCTCTAATTTATTAATAAGATCTATTATTAATTAGGATTTTTGTTAACTTTTCTATTAATTATATTCTAATAGTCTTTTAATAGTATCAAGTTTTGCAAGTGCATTAGAGTGATCTATAGAAATAGATATATTATCTTTGTCAGTATTGAATCAAAGTCTTTTATTTTTTTGTCTAGTAACTATTAAATGTTAAAAAAGTTAATTAGTAATAATAATCTAATTATAATATCTCTTATATAGTGAATAAGAATTTAAAAAAGAATGAAAATCAGAAAGTTCAAAAAAATAGTCATGATATAATATGAGTTATTTGGTCATATTCTAAGTATTAGTATATTATTATCTTTGCAATATCTTTATTTTATATAATTTTAATCCAACTTTACTATATTTTTTAATCAGATCTGCAAAAAGACATGAAAGATTTCTTGTACTTATTTTCTATTTAACAGATATTATTTAATATTAAAATATAATAAGATATATTATTTTGTCATTTCATTCTCATCAAAAATAGTTTATAGTAGATTTTGACTTTTAAAAGTTTATTTACTTATTTAAAGTATTTTAATCAAAGTGAATTATTATAAATTATTGAAAGTAGATATCTTTTAATATATATTGATATAGTTTTGAGTAGTAAATAAATATTATGAAAATTTACAAGTAAAAAGATGTAAAAAAATTACAAAGCTAATTAAATTTCAAGATTTTGCTTACAGATTATTCTAGAATTGATTTTTATATTTGATAAAAATTCTAACTGTAATATTTATCTTATCATTAAAGAGTAAGTAATAAAAGATAATTGAATTTTATTTCTTAAAATAATCATAATCATTTATTTATAAGCTAATAATTTTTTTAGTATTCCATATACTTGAAGACTAAAGATAAGTAAAATATTCTTTTCTACCACTATTTATAAAATACTTTTTCACTATTCTAAATAATTATAATTAAAATATCTCATATTTCACTAGAAAAATACAAGAATATTTAGTTTGCAAAATTGTTTTATTAAAATAAGTAAATTTGATCTCAGTTCAATATATATAAAATAAAGAGAAAATCAGATACTAATTTCTTTCTTTTATTATGTAATTGTATTTTTAATCTTTCTTTTATTATGTGATCATGTTCTTAATTGCTTTCTTTTATTATGCAATCATATTCTTAACTTCTTTTTTTTCATGATTATGTATTAATTTTATTTATTGCATAATTATTTTCTTGTTACTAGTTTTTCTTTATATTATTCTAAGTTAATAAATACTTTAGCAAAAAAAAATAATTTATGCATTACATATATATTATTAATTCATACTGATATTTTATAATATTGTAACCAATCAGCTTATTCGTGTGGCGCAGTAGACGTGGCGCAGCATATGGCGCAGCCGCAGCACGTGGCGCAGTAATCGCCGATCA